GGATGAGTTTAATGGTGATTATCAAGGTATGGCAGTTACGAAAACTGATCATTCTGATAAAAGAACTCTTGAATTTGTTGATGAGTGCCTCAGACTCAACACAGAGGCCTATATCAAGTGCCTTGAGGAGGTAGCGTTGCTCTCAGTCAAGAAGGTGGCTCCCTATGTCTGGCAACAGGACTCTGCACTATGCCACACAAGCAGGAGAACCCAGTCATGGCTGTCAGACATTTTCTGCGAACACATTACTCCTTACATCTAGTGACCTAACTATCCAGACTACAACTCCTTTGATTATGTGTGGGATGCAGTTGAGCGAAAGACTGACAAAACTCCTTGTAATACTAAAGATGAACTGAATGCAAGGATTATGGCAGCATTCACCAACTTAAAAAGGAGACTATCTAGAAAGAGTTGCAGGAGATTCCAGAATTGTCTGGAGGTCATGGTTGAAGTCAATGGTGATTTTATTGAATAAATTTACTCTTTAATATTTTAAAATATTTTTGTGTAATTTTGGTAAATATATCTGTTAAAAGATTCAGTGTTACTTTCATTTTGTGTAATTTAGATGAGAATTTATCCATTGCATATATATATATATATATATATATATATATATATATATATATACACATACACAAGTACACACATACACACACACACATATATATATATATATATATATATATATATATATATATATATATAATTATTTTTATAAAAAAATTTATAACATAAGTATGTTATAAAATCACTACAAAAATAGCCATTTTGTTTCAACACACTCTGTGTCTTATCAAGTGATGGTGTTGAAAAGAAAATAAATGGTTTTAAAAGTTTCAGATGAATTAACGATCCTACACTAGGGGGAGCATTGTTACAAAAGCTAGAATAACCAATCAAAAACGAAGTACAGAAAGATTCAAAAGCTTGACAACAAAATCCTGCTATTATAGCTATTTAGATCTTTAAATCGTGTAATATTAAAAAATTTTTACTAACTAATAATTATAAATTTATATGATAAAATTTAATATTAAAATTAAAAACTGGCAATTTTTAAAAATCCAAATTTAATCACTATTAAGTTTAAAAACTACAAAATTATTGAGAAAGAAAAAAATATATATGTTTATTCAATTCATTTCTTCATTGAAATTACGTCTGACAAGACAAAAAGCTACAATTCGTCCGGTCATCTGATAATACATGTATATATTTTTTTTTTTTTCCGTTTTTATTTTAAAGTTTGTGAATATGGTCTTAAACTCACGCGTGACACAAACAAAAACACAATCAGATTATAATACATACGCATCCAGACATAATTACATACACACACACACACACACACACACACAAACACACACACTTAAAAAAAAAAAAAAAAAAAAAAAAGAAAGAGGTGGGGGAATACATGAACAACTCCACAGCCCTTTACTGAAAAAAAAAGGAGACGTGGAAACTAACACTTATACACACACACAGTTAAATGTGAATACACTCTACATACACATAGACACCCGATATGTACACAAACATACATCCACAATGGCATAGACATTGAGAAATCACAACCAGTAAATATTTCAGACTTAAATAAATGCTAACCACTTATTGAATTATAACTTAAGGGAGCAAATATATAAAGATAAAAATGTTTAAAATAATATTATTTAATATATTAAAACGAAAACTCTAAAACAATAAATATCAATAAAAATATATATATATTATTAATCATATAAGTTGATAATAGTTTCATTATATATTTGGCAAAGAAAAACAGGATAAAGAAATCCACAAATATATATATTTTTTTTATAAAAATAATTATATCTGCTCTACTTTGTATTGAGCACTCTTTTAAGAATAGTAATTGTTGGTTATTGGAATTCATTCCGTGTATACCAATTATATACTTTTATATATATATATATATATATATATACATACATACATACATACATACACACATGTAAGTACATATACAGGCATACACAGACACACACACACACACATATATATCTATCAATCAAAAGAATAAAAGGAAACTGTAAGAAAGAAGCTATATTGGCGTGTGTATGTGTGTATAATATATGTATAGGCAGAGACAGAGAGAAATTGAGAAAGACACATACATATATGCATGCATTCCCACAAGGTTTTTATAAAGTGTGAGAATGAAGTTTCATTATTGGAAAACCATTTGTAGTTGATATCTGATGTATATTTGAAAGTTAAATGTATATTTTTCCCTTATATCTGTTTTTTTAACCAAAATAATTAAGATTGTGTATTCTTTTAATACAAGGCTTACAAAATAGTTTTAAGAACACCAAAGTAATTAATGCTAATGGTTCTCAGATAAATGCTACAAAAAGAAATATAAAATACATTTTTCTTTTTTAATAATTCTCTCCCATTTTCAAAGTATGAAAAAAAAAAGGAAATTGTTGCTTCATTTCTCTTTTAAAGATGTTATTTATAAATAGTTTTAAATGAATAACTTAGAACTTCAATGAAATCCTCACATGAAAGGTGACAAAAAGACATGGAAGGATAATATTATACGAAAATAATACATATGACAAAAGCCAATATTTTTTTTTAAATAATATTTTTACAAACATTTATTCCTGTTTTGAATCCATATCTTTTGTTTTTATTGTTTTTTTTCTATTTTTTGCTTCTTTATATAAAAAATTCATCCATTTTTTTTTTTATCAATAAACATATTTTGCTTTCCTTTTATCATTTTCTTTCCTAGCTACTCTGCATTCTTATTTTTACCTTTTGCCAAATTATTTCTCTCCATTCTCTTTATTTCCTTTCACCTTTTGGTTGAACTCAGCATTCTTTGCCTTTTCCTTCTCCCATTTTTCATTAACATTCTTCACCATCCTTCTCCAATCATTCTTTAACTTCCTTCCTATCATTATCTAACTTCCTTTCCTAATCATTCTTTAACCTGTTCATACTATGTCTCTCTTAATCTATATCCTTAATATGTTTGTGTTTTTTAAAAAAACAAAAGAAAATACTGAATATTCAGTCATAAACTTCAGGAAGTCATAAAAGTAAATTTGATATGAACTACACTTGCACATTTTTCTGTGGGAAATATGGTTTCTTTTCAGGCATTAAGGCTGCAAGAAAACTGAAAACATTATTATGATACCAAAGATCTGACACAGATTATTTGAATCTAAAGAGGTTTCTTTTCTCTTTTAAATTTTACATTGTTTGTTGATTTACTTTCAAATTTAGCCAAGATTGTTTTTATGCCACCTCCAAACCAGGATCTAAATCCATATACTACCAAACACAGACCTTGACCTTCACAGCATGTAATTCTGGTTTTGTATGGTCAAAGGTTTGGGTTATAACCCTTCTCTCATTCAATGAATATAATTATAGAAGACACACATTTAAGTACCAGTGATGATCCTTTCCAGAAACGGCTTGGTAGCATGTCCTCAATGAAAAACCAATGTTAACCCTCAAATTGAATTGAGAGTTGGCCAGATAATATACACAAATTTTGACACCTTACAAACTTCATGGAAGTGGGTTATGATTGTTGCATGGGTCATATTGAAGCCATGTTGCTGAAATCACAGCTATGCTGGACAGGGTATGTCTCTAGAATGGGGGACCATTGCCTGCCCAAGATAGCCTTGTATACCATACTCTCCACTGGCCACTGTGACAGAGGGACACCAAAGAAGTCCCATGGTACCTGCCACATTGACCATTAGTGCAAATGAAGACATAGGACTAGGCTAGAATTTTAACTTGCTGATCGAATTTGATCAGAAGATCTGAAATGATGTATGAAGACATTTAGTACAAATAAAACACAGAGTAAAGATTTTAAAGATTTTCTGTAATGATATGTCTAGGTATTAAAGACTGTTTTTTTTTGTCTTAATTAAAAGACAATCACCAGTGGTCAACATTTGCTGCTGAGTGTCAAGCCTGGCACCACACCGTCCACCAGGCCATCTCCACCTTTGAGGACTCTCGCAGGGCCAACCTGAAGGAGAAACATTGCGGGAGGAAGAACCAGGAAGCTGCAGTAGCTATACCGGACCAGACCTTTAATTGCAGTTGCTGTGGCCGGACTTGCAGTCTCACATCAGCCTAGTTGGCCATCAGCATGCCTGCAGTCAGCGTGGACAGCCCACTTCATAAATCTTCATTCATGAAGCCAAGCCAAGAGAGAGAGAGAGAGATTGAACTGTTGTGCTACTTATCATCCAGTCAGGATTTCTTTTAATTATGGTCAGAAGAACATGACTGCTAATTGACATTTGTCATCTAGGATGAGGGCAAAGCTTTGAAGGTAGGATTGTTTGACCAAAATTGATTAAACAACTGCTTCCTGTCACTTAAGACATTATTCCTACAAACTGTGTAAATATTCCTCATCATTTCTGAAACTGATGCTTTTTGAACTTGTAAATCAAGCACCATCTCAGACAAGTTTCATCTACAATCCTTTTTTAAGAATTGAACCAATTTGAAAATGATTCAATTTGACATTACATATTTCTAAGATCAGAACACTATATTATTGGCATAAATATGCCTTTTGTACAATCAAATATCAACTATAAAGTTATAATAGAAAATCAATTAAGATAACTTTCTTTCTAACCTAATAAATAAAAAAATTGAAAACTTCTTTCTTTCAGTGAAAAAACCCCAGATAAAGCAGCAATGTATGAAATTTGAAACCAGACCTGATAAATTTGACAAAGAAAAGATAATCTTATTTTCTTTGCATGATTACTGAGGTTTTTTTTCAAATGGTTTTATGATATCACAAACAACATTTTTTCTGCAAGGCAATCAACTTCAAAAACATTGCAGTAGAAAAATATCATGTTGATTCAATGACTTCAAGGGTTAAAATAAAAAAGAATGTACATGAAAATTTAAAAATAGTAAAGCAGCTGCTTCTTTCTCTGGCTTAAAGAGAGATGCATTGATCAAAGTAAGCAGGTGTCAGCACACTGCTGGCTGAAAGAGGACAAAGAAAACAAAGAGGGAAGAGAAAGGAAGAAAAGAAAGTAAAGGAAAAAAGTAATGAAAAGGAACAAAAGAAAAAGTAAAGAAAGAAAGAAAAGATGTGAAAAAGGAAAAAGAAAGTAATAAAGAAAACAAATGAAAGAAGGAAGAGGACGAAATAAAGAAGAAAAGAAACAAAAAGAGAAGGGAAGAAAAAGAGGAGAGTAAAAAGAGGAAAGGAAAAGTAATGAAAAGAGAAAGAAAAAGGAGTCAAGAAATGAAATGTAAGAAGGAAAAGGAGGAAACAAAAAAAGAAACGAAAGAAGTGAAAGGAAGAACAAAAAAAAGAAAAAGAAAAGAAAAAAGGAAGCAAAAGAAAGGAAAAAGAAAAGAGATGAAAGAAGGAAAAGGATGAAAGAAAGAAGACAAAAGAAGGAAAGAAAAAAGGAAACAAAAGAAAGGAGAAAAAAGAAAAGGAAAAAGAAATGAAAGAAGGAAAAGTGGGAGGAAAGAAAAAAGGAGGAAGGAAAGAAAAAAGAAAGAGAGATGTTTAAGACAAAATAAGAATATATACACAGTCTTTTCTTGAAATATAACTTTATATACTTTTTATTCTATGGATTTATGAATAATTCTTCATTTAAATATCAACAAGTTATGATAGTAAAGAAAAATTAAAGATACTTGAAAAAATCTTTTTGTTAATTTTTTTTTAATGCCATGTCACTTCAGGGCACAGGCAATCTTGGCACTCCACCATTTCCTTTTCTATGAATTGCTGTGCATTCTCTGTAAAAATAGTGTAGTAATTTCCTATTGCTTTCTCCACATTTTCCTTCTCTTAAACTGGTTACCACCTAAGATACCCTTGCTATTTAACTCATATCTGGCAGGAGAAGAGATAGAATCATGCCTTTCCCCCTGGCCATTAGTACAAGTGAAGACATGGGACTAGGCCAGAATTTTAACTTGCTGATTGCATTCGATCAGAAGTTTTGAAATTAAGTATGAAAACATTTAGTACAAATAAAACACAAAGTAAAGATTTTAAATATTTTCTGTAATATGTCTAGGTATTAAAGACTGTTTTTTTTATCTTAATTAAAAGACAAATATGACATTGCATATAGGCCTTACACCTATATAAAGTACTTCAAATTTAGCAATGAAAATCCTGCATTTTTTTTGTCAGTGCTTGGAAAATGTCCTCTGCTACTTGTTGGAAATGATCAAACTAACTCGGCCACAAAAAACAACCAATACTCTCAAGTATTTACTGAGCTTAGCCCAATACAAAGACACAATAATCTGGCACTCAGTAAAGAGTCAACTCATTACAAATGGCTTACAAAATGAGCTTGCTGGTTATCACTGTATAGCACTCACCATAGTAGTGTCTATTGATTGACTGATTGATTTAGTTTCTATGACTTAACCATTTGCAGGTTATTTAAAGCCAGAAAATATTTTTAGATTGCAAGAATTTCTGTTTTGGAAATAATATAATTTAGTGATACAAGTCTTACTAATTAACCCACAGCTGGGGGGAGGAGAAGAGTTGGATTCATACTTTTCCCTAGGGCATTTGCATGTAACTGATTATAATGACTGCAAATGGAACTGGGATCTGGTTCTCTGATTAGCAATTCCAAGCCATTATCCAATACACCTCCCACACATCCAATACAGCACCTGGTATTCTGAAGCGGTCACCCATCTAGGTACTGAGCAGTTTTGAAGTTGCTTAACTTTGGTGATTGTACAGGAATTCCTGTTTCAACGTGATGTGGCTTTAAGCTGAAGAAGGATTGCATGCTCAAACCCTCAGTCATGATGACATGATTTCAGGCTAGCAGAGCCATCGATGGCTTCTAAAAAGTTTCATCTCCCCAATTTTGCTCATATACCTGAAGAAAACCAAAGAGCACAATTAATCCTAGAGTCCATAACCTTGCAGTGTAGGGTTGTGGATGCTGATCTCGAATGAGGCAGTTTCTTTGATATAGCTAAACTGTCAGTATCACTTCTCTTATGAAAGTGTTTATTTATGGATTTGACTACAGGTAGCTGAAATGACAAATGACTAAAAAGGAAAATTATAGACTGGTGAGGGGGAACTACCTAGGGATACTGTAAAACCTTTATACCTTGACCCTTTGAAGGAATAAGGGCTCAACAACTTAGTATTACTATTTGTATAATCAATCAAAAAAGTAAAATATATCCATCTTACCGTTTGGCCATGGAACAAACATGAAGTTGAGCATGCTTCACAATTTGAAGTTTCTTTAGAATAGCATCTAAAAAGAAAAAAAAAATGAAAATTGAAATGATAAACAATTAAATTGAAAAATTACTTTTGATTTAAACTTTAGCACTCTGTAGGTGACTATTTTTGCCAAGCAAAATATTAGTCCTGCCAATGCAAGCTGAATTTGAATTTCTTGGTTGTGTAATTGTATCCTTTTATGGTAACACCTAAAACAATCTTGACTGAGAGCCAGGCTACTGCAATTTCAAATATCTCTATCTATAAAAGGCAGGATGTGTGTGCGTGTGTGTGTGTGTGTGTGTGTGTGTGAATGCACGGGCCACAATTTCAGGCGGATTTGCACCAAAATTTACATGCACATGCTCCAAGTTAGTGGGAAGGTCAAGACCAACTTTGCATTTCCCAACTCCAAACGATAGTGGAAATAATCAATTTTTTCAGGCTTCTACGGCAGTTTTCATGTAGTTTGCGGCCATTTTCTACTGGCCACAGTGAGAGCCTATAGCTGGCTGCCATGAATAGGCAGGAAGATTCTATTGGCCAGCATGAGAGCCAACAGCTGACTGACACGAATGTTAACTAGCATGCAAAAAAAATCGATAGCTGCATTCGTTACAAGTGGGAAAAATTTAAATCTGCATGGCACTTTACTCCAATTGGCTCATTAAACTTGCTTAAACTCGTTGATTCTGATTCTGCAGAACTGGGTTGGGTGTGAAAAAGTATTCGTTGTTAACATTCTTTTTTTCATTTGGTTTTTCCAGTTACGAGTCCTTTTTTAAAGCTAATTGTTTTGTGTTCATTTTGCTTAGTTCTTTTTTCATAACAGATTTAATGTTTAGTATAGAGCTTAGAAAAGATTTGCAGTGTGAGATAGGCAAGAAGTAAGACATGTAGCAACATCAGCATGGTAAAGGGCACTCCTTTAAAGGCAAGGAAGGGCAAAAATATTTTAAGTCAAGTGATAGCGATTGCTGTATGAGTCGTACGATTTTTGAATCAAGCACGGGCAATGCCGGGCCATGCTGCTAGTATGGAACTAATATATAAAATACTATATTTTGAAGGGATTCCATATACAGTAAAATGGGAAGTAATATTTATAAATGATGCAGAGTGCTAAATGTTAATGAAATACATTTGATGGGGTTTTGCTGGTGTGCCTGTGATTAACAGACCATTCAATGAAACTTGATTGTTACGAAATGTCCTCCACTTGTGGACTTTGATCAGACAATGGTAGGTTCAGTAAATAGGGATATATTTCAGGAAACACACCACTGTCAATAAGCTAGTCATGTAAACTGTTACTAATGTATAGAATGTTTGATCTTCACTTAAGTGCCCTATACTTGTAGCCTTGTGTCAGACAATGTTAAGCAAAGTAGATCTTGATATTCAGGGCTTCTCATTGGGAAGCAAGATAATCTTGCAGATTATTATTTTGGAAGGAGGCATTCACAGACCTGTTCTATTAAACTAAACAATCTTATATTATTTATGTTATAGCATACCTACAGACAATAATGGGTATGTCCCCATTCACATAAATACAGTAGTAAATACTGTATGTTGATCTGCAGTTAGAGATTCATTCCAGATGTGCTGGTCAAACTCTCTGCCTCTGGGCAGAGAGGATTCCCAGACATGACTATGTCGAAGGGCAGAGTCTCATTTCAAGAAACAGATACCCAACCTCATTTTATACAGGGTCTACGAGGAATTTTTGGTTAAGCCTACGGGCTCAGATATCACATATTAAATTCGGTCTTGTGCCACATCTGACTGTGTGCAGCAGTTGGTAGATATCCTTCAGTTAGAGATTCATTGTGAAATTCACTTGACTCACTTCTAGCATTTGACTTCTATTTCTATGTGCCGCTGGTGAATCTTATATGTGTTGCTCTTGTCCTAAGTATTATCGTTCATTAGCAACCTTCATTTGATTATTCTATCCAGTAAACTCCCCTAGGTTACAACAATTTACATTCAGAATAATATCCTCGTCTTCATTGTTATTATCACAATGTTTCAGCTATTATGCTCTCTGGCCTTCTTCAAGGGTCTGTCAATCTGAGTAATCTTCAAGGAATTTCATACCAAACATTTTATTTAATCTGTGGAAATCAAAGGACTGATTAACTGATTTTTTTCTTCTTGCTTATCCACCACTTTTTTTTTTGAAAGTGAATATTGCATTAATAATTTTTTGCAAGATAACAATTTTACTATTTAACCTATAGTTGGGGGAGAGAAGAGATGGATTCATACATTTCCCAAACGTATTTACAAATAAGTTGTTGTGATGAGATAACCCAACTTCCTCATTCACGATAATGGACGGACTGGTTGCCGATAAAGTACGACCACAGTAAACAGTAGAAAAAGGTCTTCGTTTATTAATACCATTGCGGTTAGCTTACTCCTGACTCTGTCTCTGTATTTTGACATACCTACATCTGATTATAAAATTATTATTGAACAACCAACACTCGGGTTTACTTTGTTATTATATCTTGTACGAGATATAACATAAGTGAATGCAACAAACTCAACTGGAATTTAAACTTGGCTCTCTGATTTTTCATTCCGAGCCACTATCGATTACACCACCTGCACATATGGGAAATGAAGGAAGCAGTGCATATGCTAAGCATTTAATATGCTAGCATCGTATCAGATGTAGTGCCTTCTGGCTTTTGTTAGGTGCTTATTGATCTGGTTAACCTTCAAGGAATTTCAAACTGAACTCTTTATTTAATCTACAGGGGTAGAGTGTTCTCATTCCACTGTCCATGTCTAAGGGATATCTTCTCTAGTTCTTATTTATCATTGCTCAGTTATCACATGCCCCATGAGAGATCCCTAGATATGATCAAGACAACAAGAACAAGCTACTCTTGTAGGTTTAAATAAAAGGCTGAGTTTGAAATTCCTTGAAGGTTATTTGGATTGAGAAACACCTGAAGAAGTTAATGCAATATTCAATTATAAAAAAAAAAAAAAATTATTCGCACAATCCAAAATATATTTCAGCTTTAAATAACCCACAAAGGGTTGATAATCCAGAAGAAAAAAATAATCAGTCAGTTAATCTTTCCATTTCCACAGATTAAATATAGTGTTTGTTTTGAAATTCCCTGAAAGTTACTCAGACTGATAGACACTTGAAAAAAGGCACAATGAATGAAACATGAAACAAGAATAAAGATGAGGACAATACTCTGCATGTAATTAACTTAATGATAATTAATATGTACAAATAATTATAACTTCTTTAAATCAGAAACTAGATAATATCGCACAGACATTGCTGAAGTATCATAAAAAGAAAAAAAAAAACAAGGAAAGAAATATCAACCTGTTGATGTTGCATCTTCTGGAGCGACCAAAGGTGTGACTTCCCCATCCCACAAAACCTGCAAGGGTGAAATTGACATTTTTTCTTGGTTTTCCAATGCACATAACTGCTTATATTCTGCCCAGTTTTTAGCTTCTTTTTTTTTATTTTGGTACTTGCTCTGGAAGGAAAATTCCAAAACTTCCGTCTGTCCTCTGCTAGTTCGATAATATTTATGCTGATTCATCACCGTTTCCCTATACTCTTGAATATCAAAGTATAGATTCCCTTCTGGCAATGGTTTCCCCAAAAGTGGAACTGTTACAGAATCTGCAGGATGTGAACAAGTCATATGTGTCAAGGATGCAATGTTGGGAAAATTATATTCCTGAAAATCCCATTTGGGGTACATGGACATTTTACAAGTTGTTTCACTGTCATCATTCAAAACTTGCAGCTTCTTAATATCAGAGAGGAAATTTGGTGACAAGCGTCCATTGTTATCTGCTGTGTCTGAAAGTTGGCTAATGGAACCATTGTCTGTTTTGTCCAAGAACCAAGAAGTGCACATTTGAGCAGTTTGGAAATTGTCCATTTGGCAAGAATCGGGATCACAATTTTTATTAGGATCACAGTACAAAGATGGTACTTCCTCAGACTCTGGTGTTAAACAAGGAGATTTGATTTTTCTTGAAGAATCTTCAAGTTCCATTTCAGCTGGTTCTTTTATCTTTTCACAGTGTGCTTCTTGAGTATGTAGTAGAGAAGACATCCTTGTTATATCCTGAGATTCCGGACCAATCTTCTCTGGAACTGGCTTGCAGTCTACATTTGTATTTCTAGGGTTAGAATTTTCTTCTTCACATTGATTTCCAGATGATCCCATTAAATTTTCAATCCTTTCAGCATTATTTGGAGAATTCAAATCGATGGAGAAACATTTGGAATCATCCTGTTTTACATCTTGGATTTTGGAAGCATTTTCAGTTTTCAGTCTTTTACAAAGATTCCCTTCAGTGTTTGGAGACTCTGTACCATTATCTTTTTCTGGATTAAAGGATTTGTCATCACTGTTGTTTTTGCAAATTTTGCGTTTCTTATTATGGCCATCCTTCAAGTATTGGTCTAATTTGAGGCTTTGTTCATACTGACTGGTGTCTGACCTGAAAATTACAAAAAGAGTATATATTTATCTATATATTAATTCATTAACTGTAAAATTATAAACAATTTCTATCATTTGGAGTTGAGCCATATTTTTTTTTTTAACCATATCACAAGATGAATTTTTAACCATATCACAAGATGCAAGGCAGTAAAGCCACTAAGATACAAAGGGTTACTGTGTGTGAAAGAATAAGAAAAAAATATTTATATTTTTATGTTTTTATATATATATATATATATATATATATATCATATTTATATTTTATTATTAAATTAATCATATTTATATTTTATCATTAAATTAATATATCATATTTATATTTTTATCTTTATATTTATATTCATATATATCATATTTATTTTATCTTTATATATATATATATATATATATATATATATATATTATTATATATTAGTGATAACAATATTAGAAGAGTAATCAAAACGACCATAGATAGCAAATGACTTGGCATTTAAATTTTTGAAGATCAAAGTTGGTAGGGAAGCATGAAGCTGAAAGAGAGTTCCACAAACGAGAAGTGTGAGAAAAGAAACTGTTAGCATAGAACTTACGGTTATATCTGACCAATCCAACTGGATAATTTAAATCATTTAAAGCCGTCACAAAGTTATGATTGGCATTTTGACTATTGACACCTGCATGCACAGTGTTTCCGCAGTTTAAAGTACACACAGTGTTACCTGTTTAATCAGACAAACTCTTGTTAGAGCCCATAAAATGTTCTTGTTCAAAGATTTATATGCTTTCTCACAATTTTTAGTCTTTCTTCCATCACTCCAAAGACTTAGGGAAAGTGTAGAGGGACATAGCTCCATAGTTATAGGTTCTATCACCATTATTTCCATTTCATATATAGATTAACTTGACTAAACATATTTTCTTTCCCTTGTGTTTCAGATCTACTAAACACTTCTTTTTTCATTGTGTGTCATTAATAAACTTTTGAATGAAGCAAAGGGTGTTTTGAGATTCATTTAATTATATTTTTATTTTATTATTATTATGTGTATGTATGTATGTATGTATGTGTGTGTATATATATATATATATATATATATATATATATATATATATATATATATATATATATATATCATATTTATATTTTACTATTAAATTTATATATCATGTTTTATTATATATATATATTTATATTTTATTAAATTAATATATCATATTTATATTTTTATTATATATATATATGTTTTATTATATATATATATATATCATATTTATATTTTATTATTAAATTAATATATTATATTTATATTTTTATATTATATTTTATTATATATATATATATATATATATATATATATTTATATTTTATCATTATATTTATATTTTTATATTATATTTTATTAAATATATATACTAGCAGTAGAGCCCAGTGTTGCTCAGGGATGTAACAGTAAGGGATAGATCAAGTATCGACCATCATAAAGACTGAAAAATAAAATTGACAAAGATTATTGTTTAAGGTTGACGGACACGTATGTCTTAAACATTGTTTTCAATTGTTTTGAGTCTACCGATTGAATAGAATTTTATTATAAACAATTGTGTTGTAAATGGAATTTTTAAAGCATTCTGAATGTAAAAATAAAGAAAAAAGTGTGCAAGACAATAAGAAACACTAACTGCCAAAAAAAGTGAAGTTTTGTTGAAATCGGTTGAAAAATGTAGGAAATCTGATCCCATATATAAAGGAACACAGACACACAAACAGATTGGGTTTTATAATAAGTATAACAAGATATGAGTTGTCCACCTTTCATTCTCGCAATAATGATGCCTCTTAATCGTGTTTTCAAATTGATTTTGTGCAAAAACAATTGTGTTTTTCCAATTTTTGGCACTGTCAGAACCACTGCAAGGTAATTTTACGTAGTTCTGTGAAGTTTTGTTGAAATCAGTTGAAAAATGTAGGAAATCCAATCCAATATATAAACGAACAGACACACACACAACCTGGGTTTTATAATAAGTATGATTTATATTTTATCATTATATTTATATTTTTATATTATATTTTATTATATATATATCATATTTATATTTCCTATTTTATCGTTATATTTATATTTTATTATATATATATCATATTTATATTTCCTATTTTATCATTATATTTATATTTTTATATTATATTTTATTATATATATATATCATATTTATATTTCCTATTTTATCATTATATTGTATATTTATATTTCATTATATATATATCATATTTATATTTCCTATTTTATTATTATATTGTATATTTATATTTCATATTTTATTATATATATATCATATTTATATTTCCTATTTTATTATTATATTGTATATTTATATTTCATATTTTATTATATATATATCATATTTATATTTCCTATTTTTTTATTATATTTATATTTATATTTCATATTTTATTTATATATATCATATTTATATTTCCTATTTTATTATTATATTGTATATTTATATTTATATTTTATTATATATATATCATATTTATATTTCCTATTTTATTATTATATTGTATATTTTATTTCATATTTTATTTATATATATATCATATTTATATTTCCTATTTTATTATTATATTGTATATTTATATTTCATATTTTATTATTATATTTGTCAGCCATTTTTAATCATTATATCTATTTTCTCAGTGTCAGCATTATCTCTTTCAAAGTTTGCAGTTTGATGCTACTTAGTGAAAAATTCCATTTATATTATTTCAGGAAGTACCTTCTGTTTTATTTTTGGTTTGAATTACTAAATAAAAAATAATAAAATAATAAAAGAAATAATAAAAATATATAAAAAGAATGAAAGAAATAATAAAATTATATATGAATATAATAATAAAATACAAAATAAAAATAATTTTACTATAAAAATGCAATAAAAACTGGGAAAAAAGAGATTGTTAGCAGTCAGGAATTAATGTAGGCATTAATAACAAAATAGGGTTTTTATAGGTGCATTGTAAATGATTTCAGTATAGAACTGCATTGTAAATCACGAATGAATGCAAGCATTTTAAAGCTCTTATGTATAATGTAAATACACTGCTAATGATTTCTATGTTAAAATGCATTTCTAGGCAGGAAAGGATTGTCAGTCGTTAGGAATTAAAACAAATATTTCTGATAGAAGAAGGTTGACTAAAAGAGCCCTTCAAAAAAAAAAAAAAAACATTTTTAAATATTGTAGCAACTTTGTAAAATAAAAAATAATAAAGTAAAGAAAATGTCTTCAAGGACTTGGGCCAGTCAAGGTCCGAAGAATTCTATTATAATTGTATAAATGATCTTAATTTCTATTTGTAAACATATATAGATTTAAATGGTTCATACAATAATGATGTTACTTGTCAATAAATTTGTTGATTATTGAGGCTAATATTTTAGAATAGGTATCGTTTTCTGTATATTCAATAAGAAGTTATCTTCCAACAGAAACAAAATTAAGTTCATGAAATAGAGATTAAATTTGATGTATTGTTGTTACTTCTAGAGCCTGTTGTATAAGCTAGCATGAATAAATTATTACATACATGCAATTTTACCTAAGACATAAAAAATGACTAATTTTTAAGCAATTTTGTGATTAGAAAAATAATTTTATCAATATCTTACCATTGCTTCAAGTTCTCATTCAACTTTACTCATATTTGTGGGTAGACATTGTACTTTATATATATATGAATTTGATATGTGTATTTATACCAACCTTCCTTGATGTCGAATGACTGAATAGCCCAAGCGACGAAGGTGTGCATAGACTTGGTACTGATTCCGATTTTCAGGTGTTCTAATGAAGATATGATAGGCTTCCTGGAGGCTGAGTGGTACCTCATTATTATAGACTTCCAGACAATTCTGAAAAGTAAAAATGAATTAAAAAATGATCAGCGGCTTTAATGATCACAAGGTCAAAGTTCAAGCTGAAGAAAATATTTCAGAGCACATATAAATTAAAGATTCTGTGTAAACATGACTGCTGCCCTTGTGCAGTCTTTTACTGATTAGACGGTTTCTCAAGTTTTGAGGACATTATCACTGCTACTTCTGTCTTCTCTCTCATGACAGACTAATGGACCAAATCTTCCATTCAATCAGTGAAAACTCCAACCTAACATCTCTCTTACTCTAACCATCTCTTGTCAATCTGACTGCCCATGTTTACACCAACATCTTGTGACTCACCTCTGACTGCAGACTCTCTATTATCTGTTCATCTCCACATTACAGCAAATGGTTTCTCACTAACATTTCTAGAATAGAATGTGCCTATATAGTCAGACTGACTACACAAGCACATGACTGGAATTCCCTACCTTCTGGCTGTGTGGTACTTGATCCTGAAAATTTTTATTTACTATATTTGCTCTTTTTCTTGCATGTGGACAAGGTTTGGTTGCTTTAAAGTCCTCACATCTCGATTTTACTGTTGGTTGTTTTTAAACACCAATGCTACAGGCCCAGATTAAATAGTTTACAGCTCATTTAAATTTGTGAGTGTCGTTAGTAAATGTTGTAGCTTTGAATAAGACAATAAAGAATCAAGAAAAAAAATCAGAATAACAATGATTAATTTAATAAAAATTAATTTAATAAAAAAATTAAATTAAATTTTAAAATTAATTTAATAAAAATCAGAAAAACAATGATTAATTTAATAACTTGGGACAGGGATGATTTAAATTTCTTTTTAAAAGATTGATTCTTTTTGTTTTTTTAAATTTATCTGAAAAAATATTTCTTCTTTCTCTTGAGATTTCTGTATGTTATCAAAATGTCAAATGTGTGACTTCAGATGAAAAAATATCTCAGCAACCATTCCAGGAAAATCACTGTTTTCACTGCATCTCATCATATCTACTTGAATCATTATCCATTTCTCTACAAGAGTAAGAAGACTTAGAATGAAGAAGTTTCAAACAAGGTATCTTGTATGCTACTCCAAGACAATCATTATTTTCATTGCTTCCCTAACCATCTACAAAGTGTCTTGAAGCAACATCCGGTCCCTTATAAGATTAAGAAACTCTGGAGCAAAGAAGTTTAGAGCAAGCTATCTCATTAGACACTCCAGGGATTAAACTACCCAAGTGGTGATTTTAAAGAGTTTGTTTTTTTTTAGGGGGGGGTGACAAAATTTAGGCAATCAAGACTAAGATGCACCATTGAAATATGACAAAAACATCATAGAAATCTTAGAAATGACAACCAAAATCTCATATCTCTCCTACGATTAAGTCCTTAATTTCAAATACACACTTTTCTTCATATGTTCTAAAAGTTTACTTATACCATTAATGTATGCAACTTACAGCCATACAACATTGAAACACCAGTTCTCATGTTACCAATGAAGTTAAGCAATGTCAAGACTGGTCAGTACCTAAATAGGTGACTTCTTTGAAATATCAGGTACTGTAAGCTTGGAGGTGTAATAGAGAACAGCTAAGAATTGTAAATTGGTGAATCAAGTTCCAATTCCAGTCAGGTTTGTTATACTAACTTATGTGCAAATAATTTGGGGAAAGTTATGAATCCACTCCTTCTCCCCCAGCTATGGGTTAATTAGTAAGACTTGTATCAGTAAATCATTACTAAAAAAAAACTTCTTACAATCTAAAAATATTTTCTGTCTTTAAATAACCTGTAAATGTTGATAAACCATAAAAAACAAATCAAATTAATGTAAGTACATATTTTATGGTTATTATTTCAATAATTAATGAAAGGTTCTGAAAGAAACAAAAAATGTCAACATATCTTGAAAATGAGCTACAACATTTTTTGGCTGACATTGTAAAATTATGGAAAAAAAATTGTATATGTACCAAAACTAGAAACATCATTTTTAAATATGCTATATTCCATGCTAATAGGAATACATACTTGAAAAAAAAAAGGTGGATAAAATAAGTAAAGGTTTATTGTAAAAAAAACCCAGTACAATAAGAATAAAGGTAACAGTTATGCACAAGGTCTTCGCAAGTCAATCCAATAGTGAATGCTACTATTGGAAGGTTCTGTAGTTCTTGCATAAGTCTGAGTCATACTCAACAGATCCCAGCTAGTCAGTATTTACCTGCCTCCCCACAAGGAAGGATGTGGCACAAGTTAAAGTTTAACCCCACGTAAACAGGTTCGGGTCTGTCTACCTCCCTGGACGAGACCCTGCCCTTCAGCATAGCTTCATCCAGGTTCCTCTCTGCCCAAAGGCAGAGAGTTTGACAGCAGCCAAGATCTGAATAACAGATCCCAGCAGGTCTCTGCAGTCCACTGACTTACAGATACTTATAGGTAATTACTACATATAGTGTAGTCACTCATGGGGTAACAGGTTATTCCATTACATCAGAATATATACCTAGTGCAAATATATTCTATTATTGCATCAAATATACATATGTAGATGTTTGGCCAAAAAGCTCATTCTGGTTTTGCTATTAAATGGTATTAAAAGCATTGATTTTTAATTAAAATTATTAAAAAAAGGATATGTGCACTTGTCAAAGAAAATAGTGCAAAATAATGAAATAATTCAAAAGAGATTTACTGAATTATGCTTCACGAAGAAGTAGATCACAATAAATGAAGTTGAACACCATTAGCTTTACCAAAGTCTGGTTTTCATCTGAAGAATGTGATACTTTGTATAAGGCTTGATTAAAATGAAATACTGAATAATGAACTTCTTTCAGAGAAGCTAAATTACTTTTCTAAATAATGCCTATTGTAGACAGCAATTGATGAAAATGGTTGATGCAAAGTCATATGGAAGAGTATAATGTTCCATTGCTATTTCTCTAGACTACATGTTTCTATGGTGATTGACTCCCCAAAAGAGTAGCTCCCAGAAGGATTAAAAGGCAAACAATAAATGTTTAAAATTTTGGCAAAGTTTAACCTTCATGCCTGCAAAAAATAAAAATAAAAAACCCCCAAAAACAATGTTTCAAAAGGATGTTTTTTTCTGATGACTATTACTATATACTACTTTGACATTGTTTATTTACAAGATTATCAATATATGTGAACCAACTACAATGCGATATTTATTATCAATTCATGAAGAAATAAATTTGAAAAGAAATCTTTTTATTCAAAAATTTTCAAAATTACCAAAATATATAAACTATTTGCAATGCAATATTTATTATTTACTATTTTATAAATAAATATGAAAAGTTTTTTTTATTCATAATTTTATAAAAAAATACCTGTTAACTTGTGACTTATCAGGAATTGAACCTGAGATCTTTTCATAATAAATTGTAGGTTGGTTTAATTTAAATAAGATTGTTTCAGCTAATCAGGGACAGGCTTGGGATTTTAGCAGGTACTACTTAAGACACACACAAATTTGTTCAGTTGTAAATAGTCATTTGCCTGGGGAGTTGCGAACAGTCTGAGCTATTGAATTAACTCTGTGTCAGTGCTCATTTCACAATACCTATGAACTATAGAACAAGAAAATTTAAATAAATATATTTCCTGACATTATACATTTTTATAACTTTAGTTATAAAAAATTGGAAAATTAAAACATGTAGTAATCTGAAATATAAATTAATTTGAAAGGAAAATGTATAATGTCAGGAAATATATTTATTTAAATAACACAGTTCATCAGTCCCTTTTGTCAAGGTACTTAGTACCCACACTTCATTTAAGATTTCTTCATCATTCACCACTTGGCTGGAATAAAATTGCCTAATTGGTAAAAATCCAAGGCCCCAAACTCCAGTAATTATTGGTTACACTACTCCCTGCTCTTTTTTTAAAAAACGTAATTTATATATTCTTAAACCATTGCTAATTTTTCTAAAAATGCCTAGAAAATATAATGATTATTTTATTCCAGCCAAGTGTTGAATGATGAAGAAATCTTAAATGAAGTGTGGGTACTAAGCACCTTGACAAAAGGAACTGATGAACTGTGTTCTTTGCAAAACATCAACTAATTGCCAATTGATTGGTTTGGTTTGTTTTGTTTTATGGCATATCAACCTCAATGGGTTATTTAATGCAGACAAAATTTTTATTGCTGGTAATGTTTTTCTTCAAAAATCCATTTCTGGGAATATTTTTCCTTGAAGAATTCTATAACTGGTCATATTTTTTTTCAAAAAATGTATAGCTGTTTGTATTGCTGGCATTTTTTTTTAAAGTATTACTGATAATTTTTCCTTCAAAAATTATTGCAGGTAATAATTATTATTATTATTATTACAAAGTATTTCTGGTATTAAAACCTATTTTTACACAAGTTTGGGTATTAACTATTTGCCTATAGCTGGGACCCTAACAGGTGCTACCACCCCAGGTCAGGGTGGACCTGGGAACACCAACAATTAAGATGTGGTTCCACGTTCCTCAAAACCTCCTGAACAGAGATCATGCTGTTGGGTTTTTTGTGCTACTTAAAATAAAAACTTGAATAGCTTCCTCATTTTTTATCCGATTTTCTTCAAAAATGTCGCAAAACATTTGCCATGATGAAAGAAATAAGATAGTGTGGTTTTAGTCCTTCTTGCTTCCCCATGTATAATGAAAAACCTTTCAAAAAGCCCATTTTTCAGCCATAACACCCTCATTTTTCATCCGATACTTTACAAATTGGCCATATAAATTATATATTATGCACAAATTTTCTTGTGTGAATGCTTTGTTTAGATTATTTCATTTAAGTGGATGAAATATGCAAAAAACCAGGTCTAAAATTGGCTTTTGTCATTTAGCTAATAGTTTCCATCCTAAATTAGCATTTGAACAACCTTTGATACAAAGATAAGAATTATTGAAGCATTAAAAGGGAAAAATTCCTGAAGAACCTCTTATCAACCATAGCTTTACAGTAAACA